CCTTCCCCTCAGCTGTATTTTCCAGGGAACTTGCTTAGATATCTTTGCAGATCCCTGGCATTCATACTCACTATACAAGTAAAAAGTCCCAACTATCTCCTTCCACTGTACTTTTATTCCCATTCTGCTTTGGGATTGCTCTCTCATCTACTCTCATCCTCACTCTCTCCAAGGCTTATTCACTAGTTTGTTTTATAAAACAAATGACCCCACATGCTTGATTCAATCACAGACTATTCCCTTTTTTGTTTGGCTGGGTTTTTCCAAAAGAACTGGTTATCCTTCAGCCTTACAAAAAGAAGGCACTCTCTCACACTGAGTACCTGAGTCAGGATGTGGGATCAGATTTCAGATTATTGCTCCTCTCTATTCCTGTAAATGTTTCTAAGAATGTATGCTATCCAGTTATATCAGGAAGGGAGTACAGTGTAGTGATTAAGTGACCTCCAGAAACAGGTAGCTTATATCTGAATCTCAGTTAAAGCACTTAGTAGCTGTGTGATCTTGGACAAGTTATTTAACTTCTTTGTGTTTCATATGTAAAAAAAAAAAAGGGGGGGGGGACATTGTACCTACTCTATAAGAGAAAATAAATGAATCGATATAGTGCTCACTTTTGACAGATAGCATTCTGTAAATGTTTGCTTTATGATTATCCCTACCACCCCTTGTTGTCATCTACCATCCTCAACTCATTCATTGATGACCCTGACACCTGGCTCCACAGCATACGAATGTTCATCAGACACCCTGGTTTCCCAGTTCCTTGACCATCTCAATTTAAATGTCCTTAACTTCTATTCCTTTCAGCCACACAAATCCATGAACTTCCTTATAACTGGGAACTTTTACCTTTGAAGCATTAAATGTAAACATCCCACTCTGACCAAAATCTCCTGTGCTTTCAGCTTTCAGTTTATTATTCTGGAACATCTATTTATAAAAGTCATTGTGGACTCCATCCCTTAAACACCTATCAACCACCTCCCACTATCACTCCTCTATCCATCAACTACTCTCCTTCCAATAGCCTCAAAATTTTTTCTTTCTTTTCTTCCCACTGAATACCCACCCACCAGCACTATTACAGATCCCATCCCTACAAAAATCCAGTGGAGCTACCCAGCTCTTATATCCTTGGTGCAAACTGTGGCTGGAGAAAATCACACATCCACCCTGTCTACAATAGAGATGAGAAATAGTTGGAGAAATAAAGAGTTCTGGTGGCTTTGCATCTGAGGTTTTGGTTGTTGAGGTCCTACCTAGTTCCTGCCACTCCTGCTTTGACTCTATGAGCTCCCTCAGTGCACTTTCTGTGAGCCAATACACTTCCACTTGGCTTAGCTAAATTGAATTGAGTTTTTATTAAAACAGTCTTGACTAATATGCCCCTTTCATCCAAGACTGGTTTTGTATCCCTTCTTTGTGGCTTCAGTAACACCCCGTGTTTACCACTGTATCTTTGAAAAGAGTGATGTCTAATTTATCCATAATTACTTTAGCAGTGATCACACTGAATTGTGGCTGTTTATCTGTCTCTGTCACTAAACTGTAATCATCTTGACAGTTAGGACTTCAGTCTTGGATATAATAGTTTCTCAGTCTATGTGAGATGAATGAATGAATGATCAAATGAACAAATGAAGTGTGACCTAAGATCATGGACTTTGGTATCGGAAAGATCTAGATTTGAATCCGGGCTCCATCACTTATTCTCTGGGTGACATGAGACAATTTGCTTAACCTCTCTAAACATTGGTTTCTTTGTTACCTGTAAACTATAAAATGTGGATAATAATGCCTACCCTTCAAGAATATCATTAGAATTAAGTGAGAGATGTACAAATGCCTAGTACCTAGAAGAGCTCTGTAAATGGTAACTTTAACAGAGAGGGAAACATGGAAAGACTTAAAGATAAGTGGAGAGGACTCATTGGGCACCACTAGGGAGAGCATTGGTCACCTTGGATCTCTGGGAAGGGAATATATGGGATACTTTTAGGAACAAAGGTAGCTAGAAAAAAATGATTGAACAAAGAAAACAACCATGGCAGAGAGGAACCAAAGTGGTTACTAAACTAAGTTATTTGAGCACAGTAATTATATCTATTTTATTAATATATTCTTAGCATCTAGCATTGCAAATAACCTTGCAAATGTTTATCGAATAAATGAATGAATATTGATTAGGATATTGTCAGATTCTTGGCCTTGATAAATAATCTATAGATGTAATGTTATTTAAAATAATGTAAGCATAAATATAATAGAAACATATATATTAAAATATATTTAGTAAAAAAGAAATATACGCTTTTTTTTTTTTTTTTTTGAGACGGAGTTTCTTTCTTGTTACCCAGGCCGGAGTGCAATGGCGCGATCTCGGCTCACCGCAACCTCCGCCTCCTGGGTTCAGGCAATTCTCCTGCCTCAGCCTCCTGAGTAGCTGGGATTACAGGCACGCGCCACCATGCCCAGCTAATTTTTTGTATTTTTAGTAGAGACGGGGTTTCACCATGTTGACCAGGATGGTCTCGATCTCTTGACCTTGTGATCCACCCGCCTCGGCCTCCCAAAGTGCTGGGATTACAGGCTTGAGCCACCGCGCCCGGCCAATATACGCTTTTTTAAATGTGGAAAATTTAGTTGGACGTGGTGATACACACCTGTAGTTCTGGCTGCTCAGGAGGCTGAGGCAGGACGGTTGCTTAAGCCCAGGAATTCAAGTCTGCAGTGAGTTATGATCACACTACCTGAGAGCACAGGATCTCAGCTTGGGCAACAGAGTGAGATCCTGACTCTTAAAAAACAAATGTGAGGCCAGCGTGGTGGCTCTTGCCTGTAATCCCAGCAATTTGGGAAGTCGAGGTGGGCGGATCACGAGGTCAGGAGATTATGACCATCCTGACATACATGGTGAAACCCCGTCTCCACTACAAATGCAAAAGTTAGGTGGGTGTGGTGGTGCACGCCTGTAATGCCAGCTACTTGGGAGGCTAAGGCAGGAAAATCGCTTGAACCCGGGAAGCGGTGGTTGTGGTGAGCCAAGATTGTGCCTCTGCACCCAGTCTAGTGACAGAGGGAGACTCCATCTCAAAAACAAACAACAACAACAACAACAAAATGTGGGCCAGGCATTGTAGCTCAAGCCTGTAATCCGAGCATTTTGGGAGGCCATGTTGGGCAGATCGCCTGAGGTCAGGAGTTCGAGACCAGCCTAGCCAACATGGTAAAGCCCTGTCTCTACTAAAAATACAAAAAGTAGCCAGGTGTGGTGGTGCATGCCTGTAATCCCAGCTACTCGGGAGGCTGAGGCAGGAGAATCGCTTGAACCCAGGAGGGGGAGGTTGCGGTGAGTCAAGATCGCACCATTGCACTTCAGCTTATGCAGTAAGAGTGAAACTCCATCTCAAAAACAACAAACTCAAACAAACAAACAACAAAAATAAATGTGTATGTGTATTTTTTGAGTATTTTTCCTGAATTCTTTTCCTCTTCTTAGGACATGTATTTTGTGAATTCACTTTACAATATCAGACAACCATATAATCAACAAAATTTTCAATGTTAGTAAGACCCTTTTATTTAGAGGACCCTTCTAATTTTCTAGTCATTTGTCTTGAAAATGACTAAACAATCTCCATGAAGCTTGAAATTTAAGGAAAAGGACAGAAGAAAAATGTGAAAAAAATTACAAGTAAGTTTAATTCAATTTTTAAAGTCTTTGGAACTCACTTTAACAAAATGTCAATATCCTATTGTTTAAGTAGTTGTTAAAATTTCAGCTTAGAAAATTTCCCTGTCCTCAATCTTGCTTTCCTTATATAGACACAAAATTCAGGACTTGAATCATGAGACCTTGATCTTTGACAGTGAGGGAAAAACCTGAAACTCTTCTTTCAGATTTGTTTTGCTCCCAGTAGAATATGAAGCATTTAAAAATTCATCCCATCTCTATAATGACACCCAGGGTTTTTCCTTATCATCATGACTTGGGAGATAATAAGTCTGACCAACAGAAATTGTGTCCACAGGAATAGTCAACTCTTTTCCCTGCCCTTAATTTTCACAGGATAGAAATTATCTGAATTTTAAGTTTTGTATTTTGCCTTTTCCAGTTATCTTTCTAACATAAAACTTTTTCATGCCATTAAAACATCCCTATAAATGTAATAATGTTGAGTGGCTACACAAGAATTTTTATGAATATATCATAATTTTTGTAACCATTCCCTTTTTTTTGAACACTTGGGTTTTCAACTTTTATTTGTGACAAACCACACTACAATGAAAAGCTTTGAGCAAAATATTTTCTTTCAAATTATTTCCTAAGCAAAGATCTCCCCAGAAGAATTGCTAATTCAAAAGGCATAAAAATATCTTAAGTTCTCAGTACCTACTGTCAACTGACTGTCACCAACAGTTTAAGAAAGTACCTATTTCAATATGCTTTTCCAGTCCTGGCTAGTCTTAACAGAAAATTTTTTGACTAATTTGATACATGAAATTATATCTAATTTTAACTTGTATTTATTGGATCACTGTAGAGGTTAAATTCTTGGCCATTTTAGTTTGTGAATTTAATTGTTTATTTTTCTCTTAAGATGTTAATGTTTTGTTGATATGTATAAAATCTTTATTTTAAAAAATGTAGTGTCTAGGCTGGGCATGGTGGCTCATGCCTGTAATCTCAGCACTTTGGGAGCCTGAGGCAGGTGGCTCATTTGAGGTCAGGAGTTCAAGACCAGCCTGGCCAACAGGGTGAAACTTCATCTCTACTAAAAATGCAAAAATTAGCCGGGTGTGGTGGTACGTACCTGTAATCCCAGCTACTCGAGAGGCTGAGGCAGGAGAATTGCTTGAGCCTGGGAGGTGGAGGTTGCACTGAACTGAGATTGCACCACTGCATTCCAGCCTGGGTAATGGAGGGAGACTCCATCTCAAAAAAAAAAAAAAAAAAAAAAAAAAAAGTGTCTGTCATATTATGGATATTTTTCTCAATTTAACTTTTACCTTCAGTGTCCACTTAATACATATTTATCTGAATCTCCCCCATGTGCCAGGCACCAGTCTAATCATCAAGGATGAAATAGATACAGTCCCTGCCTTAAGGATCTCACAGCCTAACAGAGGGAAGCTCGTGGATAAACAGTGATTGCAAGAAAGTTTTCACATCCTCCGCCAGAAGTACAAATAGGCTATAGTGGATGCACTAAAAGATGTGAGTGACCCATTCGACATGTAGGGGCCAGGAAAAGGCTTCAGAGATGATTCTTAACTAAGAACAAAAAGCTTTACTAGAGTGACAAGGGACAAAGTACAAAAAGGCATTCCAGATAGAGGAACACCTAAAGATAGGGCCAGAGAGCTGGTTAGTGGATTTGGGTTTGGCTTTGTAGTCTGGTTTGTCTGAGGAGTAAAATGTCAGGACAATTCAGTGGAAGAAGGGCCTGGAGAGACCTCAGAAGTTACATAATTTAAAAAATTATACATAACTTAATTTTTTTCAATGAAGTCTAATTGAGTAAGCTTTCCTTTTCTGATTTTACATAATGTTTAAAATCCTTCCTAGCCCCAGAGATTTGATGTTTACCTTCATTTTCTTCTAGTTTCTGTTTACATTTAACTAATCCATCAGGAGTTGACTTTGGCATGAAATGGTAAGCCTCATTTGGATCTTATATTTTCTGTTTTAAAGTTTATATGGTTCACTAAACTGCTTTCTGTAGCCTTATTTTGCTAATGGCTAAAAATGGGGGTGCTAAATATCTAATAAAGAGTATGCCCAGGTGGGAACACGCTAAGGAAAACAAGAGAAATTTCACAGGGGTTTGCTATTTTAATACTTAAATACCAAAACGGAGGTGTGCCAAACACTACGGGTGCAGACATGTAGTCTTTTAGGATCCTGGCTCTCAGAATACTACTACTACTTTGTATTGATAGACTGGAAACTTTTGAGGACTCAACCGTGTTTCCACAAGCAGTCATTTATTTACATGATAACAGAGGAGAGAGGAGGAATATATAATTGCCCGCTTCATTTGTTTAATACTACCAGAAATCAGGTGGAGTCAGGTTTCCTCCCCTGATGCTGGCTGGAGATTGGGCGGGGTTGGCATCTCTGTGCTGGACAGGCCACACACTAGACAGTTGACAACTGAGAGCTGTGATTGGTTGGCAAGGCAAAAGTAACCCAACCAGATTGGCTCTGGACTCCCTCAGATTTCCCTGTCGTTACTTCATAACATTCTGAAGACCTGGCCACCAATCACAGGGCTCCTTACTGGAAAAACCAGCTGCTGGGGAGTGCCAAGAGTCCCTAGCAACGCTCTGCAGCCTTTGAAATCTGAGGGGAAAAGACTGTAGTCAGCTCTTAACTGGAGGAGAGCACCTATGCCCCAGAAAAAGCAGGCTCCCAGGATGGACACGCCGCGCCCTGAAGAATCGTTAGAGAATCAAAATGAAAAACTGAACAACCAGGAAGAGGAGATGGAGTTTAAGGAAATGGACGGTCTGAGAGAAGCCTTGGCGAACCTCCGAGGACTGTCAGAGGAGGAGAGGAGCGAGAAGGCGATGCTTCGCTCCCGCATTCAAGAGCAGTCCCAGCTCATCTGCATCCTGAAGCGGAGGTCAGATGAGGCCCTGGAGCGCTGCGAGATCCTAGAGCTGCTCAATGCAGAGCTGGAGCAGAAGAGGATGCAGGAGGCTGAGAAGCTCAAGGCCCAGGGTGAGTACACTCGGAAGCTAGAGGAACGCTTTATGACCCTAGCAGCCAACCACGAGTTGATGATCCGCTTCAAGGATGAACACAAGAGTCAGAACATCAAGCTGAGGGAGGAGAATGAGAAGCTGAGGCTGGAGAATAACAGTCTGTTCAGCCAGGCTCTGAAGGATGAGGAGGCCCAAGTATTGCAGCTCACCATCCAGTGTGAGGCCCTCACTGGGGAGCTGAAGACGCTGAAGGAGAGGTGTGCTCAAGATGCCTGCCAAGCACAGGCCCGCGAGAAGGAGCTGCTGGAGCTACAGAGCCAGCAGGCCTGCACCCACACCAAGGAGACAGAACAGCTGCGCAGCCAGCTGCAGAGCCTCAAGCAGCAGCACCAGCATGCTGTGGAGCAGATGCTGAAGGCAGAGGAGACACACAGCAGCCTGAGCCAGGAGCTGCAGGCCAGGCTGCAGACCGTCACTAGAGAGAAAGAGGAGCTGCTGCAGCTGTCCATGGAAAGGGGTAAAGCGCTTCAGAACAAACAGGCTGAGATCCGCGTGCTTGAGGAGAAGTTGGAGATGGCAAATGAGGCCAGGAGGCAAGCACTGGAGCGGTTTGAGCAAGAGGCAGTGGCCGTGGACAGCAACTTGAGAGTCAGGGAGCTTCAGCGCAAAGTAGATGGGATCCAGAAGGCCTATGATGAACTCAGGCTGCAGTCTGAAGCCTTCAAAAAGCACAGCCTGGATCTTTTAAGCAAGGAGAGAGAACTCAACACCAAACTCCGCCATCTCTTTCCATAATGAGTTCCTGCTTCCTCTGGCCTCCAATTCAGAATTCAAATATTTGTGTCTTAGCATTACAGCAAGAGTAAAGTTGATATCCCATTTATTATACTTTAAAGCACAAAAGGCAACGCAAAGAAAAGCTACTTTACTGTGATATTGCTGTTTTTATTGTAAAGCTATTATTTTTCAGTTCTGCCACTTAGAATACGCAAGATTTGCCAGATTTCCTTCTGTGCCGTAGAAATCTCCCTGAATTTACTAGTGATATCTTCTCCTACCCCATAACTTACTCATTCTCAACCTCAGATATCTTCATATATGTTAGGGTTTTAAATTAGCAGCTTCTATGATTTAAGCCAATCTAAATGCAGTGAGATGTGCCATTGTGAAAAATAATTAGTACAATTACCCATTGTAGATAGGCTTATAGTCTCCCATAGTTGAGATTGTAAGCAAACAGGTGTCATCATACTAGGGTGAATACTTTGCAGACAAAAATGGTGTCTGACTTTATTTTGCACTAGCTTGGAAAATGATTGAGATCTTTAACAAAGTAGGTCAATTTTATTCTATATGAGCAATATGCTTCAAATAAGTTACATAAAACAATTTTTATTTTTTCTGCAAGCTTAGATAATATTCCCTTTTTGGTTTTCTCTTTAAAAAGAGGATTTGTATGTACAATAATGCAAATATCAGTAGCCTAATTTAATATTGCACAATATGCTAATAGACAATTAGACAATTTGGGGTACCAAATCATAGCAGATGATATGATCTATTGTAGTAACTCAGAAATTGTTTTCTGTTTCTATTAGCATATTTTTTTGTAATTAAATATTTCTTTTTTTAAAAAATCTAAGCTGAATGTGTATATGTATGCTTGCAGCATTTTTGTAGTAATACCTACATTTTGTAAGAATAGTTATAAAAACATGATAGTTATATATATATATCCATGTAAAGTTCTTAAAGAAGTTCTCAAAGGTATTTTATTTCTGTATTTATTGATAAACATTATTATGAATACCTCTCAAAATAGATTTTATTTTTCTCACCCATTTTGGTGAAGGCTACCAAGTTACATAATGAATTTACTTAAAAAATATGTCTTGGTACCTTTTTAATAAAACCATTTCCAAGCAAGTGTTACCTCAGGTAATTTTTTACACCCTTTTTTTCACACTTCTATTAAGATTATGTTATTAAATACAAATTTTTCGCCTCAAAATAGAAACCACACTTCCAACTTCAAAGGACTCTTTACTTCCTCCTATAGGTTACCAGGAATCAGGGTATAGGAGCTACGTTAATCATGGTTATCCTTTATTGAGCCCATACTATTTATCATTGTGCTGAAGCAATTTGGATGAATTACTTTATTTAATCCTTAGCGCTATTCAAGAAGGAAAGTGTGTTCATTTCTATTTTAAGGAAGAGGAAACTGATTTCGGTAATTTTGCTTAAGGCCATTTGGTCACTGGGGGAGCTGGGATTTTGATGACTACACCACACTGAAAGATAATTTTTGGTGACTGAGTGCCAGGTGCTGGGGTAGGTACTAAGAAGAAGTATAAAGAAAGAAGCATGTTTACTGCCCTGAAAGAGCCCCCACACAGTCTAGGGGCAAAAATAATAATAATTACACATACTGTGATGTGTTTTCATAGGGGATGTTAGGAGGTCACGGAGAAAGACATAGGCAGCATCTTCCCCTGTCTGGTGGTAAGGGTTGGGTTGGCGGGGAGGACTCCTAGGGATGATTAATTTATTCAGGTGGAGAAAAGGGAGAAGGAGTTGAGACAGCATCGTGTAGACAGCATAGAGGTATTTTTAAATGCCCAGAATACTTGAGGGAATCATAGCAGTTGGGAAGAGGTGCCGAGAAGCATGTATACAGATAAAACTGTAAAGAGTAGGTTGGGGGCCATAATATAGGGGACCTTGAAAGCCAGGCTGGCCCGTTAGAGAGAGAGGGAGGGGGCGAGAGGAGGAGCAAACGAACGAATGAAAGGGAACCGTGGAGCCAGCCCACCTCTTCCCACCCGGGCCCGTGCGGCCCCGTGCGGCCCCGCGAGGGGCCTGGTGCGCAGGCGTGCCGGCCCCGCCCCTCTCTACCGCTCCTCCCTCCCGCAACCAGCGTGGTCAAATCTCCGCTCCTCTACCCGCAAACTGCAGCCGCGTGGTAGTTCTTGGGGCCCAAGTTTTGCGCACAGCCTGAGGGGAGAAGTCCCCTGAGCAGAGGCCGAGCGGTTCTGGAAGCGGGCTGAGGGCCGTTTGGGTATGAATCTCGGAATTCCGGGTACTGGAGTGTGGCCTAGAAGGGGAGTGTGCTCCAGGGACTCCATGTTAGGTGGGGGAAGAGCGCGTCTGAAGATTGCGTGGGGGAGTAGGGCGGGGGTAGGGGCGCGTGTCCGCTATAACTCAGGGGCAGGGGAATGAGCCCTGTTGCTCTGGTCTGAGGTCGATGTTGTTCCAAGTTGTGCTAAGGAGTTTGTATATGTTTGATTATTTGCCGTTTTGTAGATCCTAAGTGGTCAGATTTGGACCATTTTATAAGGTTCACCCTAATACTCTTTTGAAAAATGTTGAAAGTGGGAAATGACAATAGAATGTCAAAGATAGATGCCTCTAGAGAACAACCGAAGAAAGAGCCCACATCCTAGACTAAGAGGAATGTGTACCTATCATGTGTCAGGTGCTTTTCATCCCACCGTCATAACAACTCTTCAAGGGAGGTTCAGTTATCACAATTTTACGTATAAAAAGGGAAGACTCAAAGAGGGTGACTTGTCCCATGCCAGGAAGCTTTGGGGGGCCACGAGTGAGATTTGAACTTAAAGCCCTGGGTATGCCGCCGCCCCCACACTTGGTTTAATGCTCACTGTTGCTGTCGCGAAATTTTTACTAATTTTATAACAAGCGGCCTCACATTTTAATTTTTGTTTTGGGTACTACCAAGGAAATCGCTGGGCCTGTTTTCTGGCTCTAAAACCCTTGCCTTCTCCCAGTATACAAACTACTTTCTTAAGAGCCTTAAAAAGGCAGTTTTCTTCCTCTGTGCTCCATGGTACTTTGTATTCCACTCTGTCAGTCTTCATATTTAATCTGTGAACCAGAGCCACATCAGGAGATAAGTAACCAGTTTATTATGGTATGCTCCTCTATTAAGTGATGCTAATCACTGGAACAAACTGACAAAATGTATATCGGCCCCGTCCAAACTATTGCCTTTGAGGGAAAATTTAAACATTCGTTTCTAAAGCAGATCTAGATCCTTGCTGAATTTTTCTGCAACATCCACGAGCAGTAGCTCTCAAGTGAAAGCAGAACAGAGATCCTAAAAGCAATAATGGATGGGTAGTGCTGTGTAGCTGATAGTTGTGACCTTTTGTGTTAGCCAAACTGGTTCTTCAGTGTGCCCTAAGGAACTTGTCTGGTTCCAAAAAATTATAAAAGAGAGCTTCAAAAGAGGAGAGTTAAAGGCAAAGTGAACTGACAGGTATTTTCAGAATACTGCCTTTGCTTCAGTTAGAGAAAATGAATTGAAGGTAGTTTGTTTCTAGTAAACAAAGTATTAATAGAAAATCTGTGTCAGCCTGACTCCAATATGTTAAACAATTATTTAAAGAAAGTTGTTTGAAGGAGTACCTGCCCAGGTGCCTGCTGTTCTACTCAGCCCTCGTTTCTCCAGATACCTGTGAGGTAGCTGTGGCTGGGTCAGGTCAGGGGTGATTCTGCCTTCCACTCTGATAAGACCAACAGAGCTGGGGCAGACTTGAGATACCACGTCTTAGCCCACAAAGAAAAGAGGACAGTGACTTTTAACTGCTCCTAAAAGCCTACCCTCCCTCTCCAAACAGCTTGTCTGCTAGTGTTATTGGCCAAAATTGGGTCATATGCAAATACCGCAGCCAAGCATCTTCATAGGGCATGTTGCCAGCGTAATTGATTTAGACCAATCAGGATCCACCCTGAGATGGGAATGAGGCCAGTCTGTGCTACATTGTAGAAGAGACTACCTGGCAAAGGCAGGGCCCTGCCAGCAGGAATGAAGGAGGATAGATGTTGGATGGACCATTAACATTGCCTTCTGTGCTACCTCTATTTAGACTGTCAGAGCCTTATCAGGCAGAAAGCCTTTTTAAATCTTTAATCACAAGTCTTGGCCTCTTTAAAAGTTATTGGAATTTAGGGAAGTGGCTGAGAATAAGCTTTTCTAATCATTGTGTATTCCTAAGAACAAATTGCATGTTATTTTCTGAACGCTAAAAACATCTTATTAAACTTAGGGGCGCCTGGAGCTGTACAGATGAGTCTCCCTACTTGATGCTGTACTCTCTAAAACCTTCTGTTTATTGCATCTGGGAAAAACAAATCCAGGAAAAAACTAGTTCTTTTACAGATCTGTCTGGTCATTCATTACACATTCAACTGACTACAGTGCCCTCACAACAACCTTACTGCCCAGTCCAACAAAGGGACTCCTGCTTTAGCTACTTGCCAGATAGTCCCCACTCAATGCTCTAATCCACTCTTATTTGTACCAGTCTGAAATAGTCTTCTTTTTCACATTTAAGGTTATTTATTACATCATTGTTACAGCAGAAGATTGGAAATAGCTTACATTACCATCAGTAGGGAACAGGTTTATAAACTATGGGTCCTTCACACTTTGGAACACAATGTAACTGTAAAACAAAAGGAAAAGGAAGCTGTTAATGTATTGTTATAGAACTATCTCCAGGACATATGCAGAAAAAAAACAAGCTATAGAATAATACATATTATACTGTAAGGGGGAGAGGAGGAAGAAGAGGGGTATTAGCATGCAAACATTTATTTCTGTCGGCATAAATAAATATTGGAAAAAATAAGTTGTTAGTGGTGTGGAAGGATATAGAGAATGAGGTGGTCAGGGATAGGAATGGGAAAGAAAATTCTTAATGTATACCATTTTATATCATTTGACTTTTGAACTATGTGAATATATTACCTATTAAAAAGATAGTAAAATTGGAAACAAAAAAAGAAGATCTTCCACATATCTATTTAACTTCCCAATAAACTATATTTTTATTTAGGTGATTCAAAAGTGCACGTTTTCCCTTCCGCAAGAACTGGGTAGGCACGGCATATTTTAGATAAAGCCAAATATGGCCTGACAGATCTGGGTCAGAACATTCAGCTGGAAGCTGCTGCTTTCACAAATGTTCAACAACATACGGCTAATGACAGTATCTTTTTCTTCCCTAAAGAATACCTCCCCATAATTAGTATTTCTCTCCTAAAGATTGGGATGTGTTAGCTTTTCTCATGGATTTTCACATGTCTGTATAAGTCTCAGATTTTAGAGAGCCTGTTTTCTCATATACTCAAGCTTTTAGGCTTTGGGTGTTCATTTTTGGTTTTACACTGACATACCAACAAAAGGTAGTGGAGGTAGAGCAGGCCCAGCCATTCTGATCTTTTCATTTCTCATCTTTCTGTGCTAATTACTAACTCATTCACTGAATATATTGCATTAATTTAACAAATATTTATTGAGAGTCTGTTAGCCAAGACACTGTGCTAAGTGGTGGGATACAATGGGAGCAAGATAGAGACCTTATTTTCACTGACCTTGCATTCTTCTGGATGAGAAAAATGCTGAACAATAGGAGGACATGGAAGTGCATAGCAGGGTCCTGCAACCTAATGTAGGAGTGATTAGAGGAAGCTTTTCCTGGAAGTGGATTTAAGATATCTGTAGAATGTGTAAAAACTGTACAAGAGAAGAGGAAAACATAGAGTACAGTAGCTTGGAAAGCTTCACAGCACAGTACCTCCTGTTCCTGGTCAAGTAAACTGCCTTTCCCAACAGCTGTACCATTCAGGGCTGCAGAATATGCAGCTCCAAATATACTCAAGAGATTCTCTGGCCGGATTAATCCTATTATGCTCACATTCACATTTACTTTAGTTCTTTTCAGAAGTCTGAGCCTCCATAATCTTACTTAATCCTTCTCCTCCCCCACCAGCATCACCATGCAAACTCTTTGAGCCCTTACTCAGATCTATGATCAGCAAACCAGCTGAAGTATTAGTGCAGTAAGCAGAAGGGTGCATTGGCATAAGACTGCCTAGATTCAAATCCTGACTGTTGTTGAGTGACCTTAAATAAGGTCTTACTGGGTGAAGAGGTAACCGGAAAGCTAAAATCTTCAGTAAGGAAGATATATGAGGATGACATGGCATGAATTTCAAATTGGTATAACCATACCAAGAAAAGAATTATCCAAAAGGCATTAGAAAAAATAGTATTTTCAATGAATATCCTTGACGGAGTATATTCCAAAGACAAATAGAGTTGCAAGGAAATCTTAGTAAATTTCATTCATTAGCTTGTTAGTTGTAATATTGGCATTGTGTTAAAATTTTTATATATATTGAAGCTAAAGCAAAAAATAATTATGTTAATGTTGCTAGGGAGAAAATTTTCAGGGCTTAAATGCAGGTACTTAAAAAGTTAAGTAAAAAATTTGATGTTTAATTTGAATTAAAAATTCCAGTCTAAACCCTTGACCATTTTTCTGTTTTAGAAAACAAAACAAACATATTCCCTAGCTCTGTCAACTGAAAGGCCTAGAAGCAATAAAAATCCAATGCATTGAGCATCCCTAGGGCCTGCTTCTGGCCTCCCAAAATTGTTTTCCACTAAATTGAAGAAAGCCTCCCTGGAGGAGAGGCTGACTTCGGAACTGGTATAGGAAAAGTACAAGGTAAACCTGATAAATCTAGTTGTATCAGAAAGCAAATAAACTATCAGACTAATGGAGTTCTGTGAAATAGACAAGAGAGCTAAATTGGAGGGGCGTTCAATGGCCAAGGATGATTAATTTGAGCATCAAAATATATATCACAATTGAGTGAAACACTGAATATCATTATGATACACCCCCCAAAAAGATTAATTACGATTAAAGGAAAATAAGCATTTATTTTCCTTTGCCTGTTCTCTGTATTTCAGGAAAAGAAAATGGATCATAAGTAATGAAAGTTGCTTTTCACTGAATAATTCCAGATAAAAGTAAAAATTTTTAAATAATTATGTTGTAACCTTGACTGAAATAATTTAGGCACTAATCATCATTAGATGAAACCATTAGGAGAAATGTTAATGGGGAATTTTGCAGTGGGGGAATTAGACTGTCACCACTTGAAAACATTGATCAGTCTTAGCGTCACTAAAAACAGGACAGCTAAGTATTATGCACCTCTTGGTGCAATGCAGTCTGCAAA